TCCATCTCTCCTCCCTCTCCGTCGCTCCTCCCCCGTCCGCCACTACCGTCCCTCTGGAGCTGCCCCCTCCGCTGCCCCTCCTCCCTCTCCTCTCCCTCCTCCCTTCCTCCACTCCCCTCCTCCGCTTCCCTCCTCCGATCCCCTTCTCCACTGCTTCCCTCCTCCCCTCCTCCGCTGCGCTCCCCTTTGATTGTGGGGTATGCTAACCCAAGTGTTACTTGCAGAGGATTTTTCTTTGCCTGTTGATGATGGGAATTGGGAATTGGTTTCTTTGCCCTTCTGCCCATTCTAGAGTCTGACCAATTTTCATTTCTTACAATGTATCTCTATTGTACTGGTAGACGACCTGAAATTTCCTGCAAAACTATTATGCCATTGATGTGACTTTTTTCGGGTCCCTTCACTTTGGGTAAAATACCTGTTTTCTTATATGTAGTTGTGAGACATGGATCTCATGGCTAAATGTGTTTTCTTGGAAACCATTTTTCTCTTGTCTTGTTGTGGCACATAATCCTAAGGTCAAATTCTTGTCCTCAAAACTAGTTTATGAAAAAACGTATGGCAGAATTTGGCAAAATGGACTTTCATTTCGGTCCAGTTTTCACGAAGTGCATGTTTTTCCCGAAAGAAAAATGCAGAAAATGGATGCGCATCCACGTGCATTCCTGCATTTTCTTCTCTTGCCCCCCACTTATGCGGTCCCCCAAATTTTGCCGTTCAAATTTTGACCTGAAGGGCAAAATTTCCGCTGCTATGGATGAGACCATTCCTGTCTCTTGGCGGAAATGACTGGTAGGTACCCCCACAGGAAGCGCGTTTGCCTTTTTTTCCTCTCTCTCTCTCTCTCTCTTTTTTTCCTTTTTTTTTCTTTTTTTTTTGTAAATTTTTATAACTTTTGCTGCCCAATTTCTGCACAATATACCTACCTTCCTCTTTGAATGCCTGCGACTAATGTGCCCGAGGAATTGGGAATCAGCAGACTCACAGATTTCTTCTGGGCATTTCGGTGAAGGACAAAACAGCACACACACACACACACACACACACACACACACACACACACACACACACACACACACACACACACACACACACACACAGAGACACACACACACACAGAGACACACACACACACACACACAGAGAGAGAGAGAGAGAGAGAGAGAGAGAGAGAGAGAGAGAGTAGGTAAGTGGCAGTGTTTTGACCTGTGGTGCGTTGTGTTGTTTGTCAAAACGATGTTCAGCTCAGAATGGAATGAAGCCAGACGCTGTGAGGGAGGGTATGCAGAAGATGATGCAGGCATATGAAATCTACCCCTTTTGCACCACCGCGCTGAACTATTTGGGTAGCCACTACTTCTACGCTGGCCAGTCTTATATTACAGAGCAGCTGATGGAGGCAGCCCTTAGCAGCACTGACAACTCTCAGATGAGAGCAGAGAGCTTCTACAACATGGCACGGACGTTTCATGCAAAGGTAGCGTTTTAGGTTTGCTGGCATTCTCTTCTCCTCTGCTCCGGTCTCTCTCTTATTCTCCTCTCTGCCATACGAATTCAACAAACTTTGTGGGCTTTGACTTTTAAACCGTGAATTGAAGGCGATGACAGTACACGTCAACTTCAAACACCTATTTTCTGTTCAATCAATGCGAATTCGGTTACGATGTTCTTGCAAATAGGTGGTAGCTACTTGGAAATCAGCTCCATTGGATGCGGATGGAGTTGGGTCCGCTGGATTCACATGGAGTTGCGAAGTTGTTGCACTCTTTGTTGTTTTTTTTTTCCAATTCATATAGGCAGTGCAAGGAATACGAGCTAGAGCGATAGACAGAAAACCAAGTTACAAAATCACTAAGTAGTCCAGATAGTCATGTACCAAGCAGAGACACAATGCACCAGGATACCATCCAAATAGGAGCAGTACAATGAACTTGAGTGTCAATGCAGACGCTCTCCGATCAAACCAACACTGTATCCATTGTCGCTCCTAGCCTACTCTACTCAGCCTATCTACTACATTCTTGCGACTGGATCACGTCGAAGTGGAAGACCAATCTACGTGACATCAACACCAATGCTGACCTCCAGCATGCACCAGGTACGTTCTCTCTCCTCCCCTCATGACACCTTGGATCCCCTCTGCATGCGCCTCCTACCCGAAGACCCCCATCACCATCACCAGCACCCGCACCCTCGGCCCGGCTATGGCTGCGGTGCGCCCACTGCCACTGCAGTGCCCTCTCGCCTCTTAGCGCCCGTGTGTGCCCCAGCCTGCCTGCGTAGCGCAGCGTCGCACGACAAAGCAGCAGCGTGGCTGCAATGCCTGCGTAGCGCAGCGTCGCACGGCAAAGCAGCAGCGTGACTGCAATGCCTGCTCAGGCCAGAATGCCTCCCCAGGGGGCACACACTTTCCTGTATGGAAAGTGTCCACTGCTGGCTGGCTTGACCAGGCGTGTGGGGGGGCCCAGTAGCTTGCGTCTGGCCCCAAGCGTCTGCGCCCAGGCCCAGTTTCAGTTTCAGATACTGGCCTGGGCCTCCTGCAGTTAGGCATGTCCAGGCAGCCACCCAGCCTCCAAGTGTTTGCAGCATTCTCAGTGTGACGACAATGCTGCTTCCTCATTGGCCGGTAACCAGTCCATGATGTGTTGGCTTCACACAGCATGTGCCCCGGGCGCAACCACCTGAGCCCTGGGCTCAACTGAACAGCACAGCCCTTTTGTTTCTAGAAGAGCCTGGAGGATCACGTTGCTCTGTTACCAACTGGCGTGCTGCAACTGTCTGAGTACCCACATATGGAAAACAGGCCTCACTGGATATTCAAGCCCGCCTTCACTTAGGGCGGGCACAGGCTTGCTAGGGGCCACAGCCTAGCACACTTGTATATCTGATGAGGGCCCCACGAGGGCTCATTCCTTGAAGCAGCATGAGACGCGTAGTGCTCTATCTGCCTAGATGAGATGCATCAGAAATGATGAAAATGCAACGTGTTTGATCTTGCATTAGATCCGTAGTTCTCCAGTTGCTTCTGTCTGAGAGAAGGTTGATGGAAGGCCCAAAATTTTGGGGGGGGTGCCGCATCACCATAAGCAACGCCGTCGAAAAGTTTTGCGAACAAACAATGGAGGCTCATAATGCAAACATAAAAAAAACAAACACTGGCAACGGGCAAAAAAAAAAAAAAAAAAAAAAAACTCAGAAGTACTATAATAAAGCCCTATTCGGAGTAGCTTTTGGAGTTCGCCAAAATTTTCTCCGAATTCCCCGCCCCCCCAAAAAAACTTTTTCGTTACTGGTCCAAATATGTCGAAACTGAAATACATATATACCCTGAAGGGCCTAAAGCACAGACATATCACACACACACACACAAAAGAAAAGAAGAAAAAAAGCAAGAATTCAGGGAAATATGGCAATTTCGGTGAAAAATTTGCCGAAAATGACCCCACCTATTACCCGTTAGTGTTCTATCGGTAGGGGCAGTGATCTTAACCGGGAAACGAAGAAGAAAAAAAAAAACCAGAAGAAACGACTGATCGGCCAAGAGTGAGGAACCGACACTGACATTTGCTTTATAGAATCGGAGCTCAAGCATGTTTTGTTACTTGTTCATTTCCCTCACAGGTTGAACTGGACGATGTGGAGATGACATGGGGACAACGCTGGAAATGGGAGAGGGAGAAAGAGATGAGACATGAGGATAACACAGAGCATGACATGGCAATGGTGTGGGAATGCCAGAGAAATGATGCAGGCCTGACATGCAACGATGCAGGAAAGGCACCGGGATGACACAGAGATATATGTCTGATGATATATACATCGTCAATATACTTCGAAATCGACCAATTACCTACTTGGGAGATCCGATGGTCACCACAGAAAGTTTTGAGAATGGATTGGAGTTGAGACGGACCGGAATGTGCCGATGGTAGAATGATCAATGCGACAGGTTTGATCTTGCATGAGATTCGTAGTGCTCTATCTGCTTCTCACTCTGCTAATGCCAGATAGATCACTTCGGATCCATAGTTTTGAGAGGACTGGAATGCGACATTGATGTGGCGAAAAAACCCGAATTTTGGGCCTTCCATTAACCATCTCTCTCTCTCTCTCTCTCTCTCTCTCTCTCTCACACACACACACACCTGTCTCTTATACACATCTAGATGTGTATAAGAGACAGCCCCTCCGTGGCTGCCCCCTTCCCCCCCCCTCCACTCCTCTGATCCCGCCCTCTGCCGGTCCCCCCTCCTCCCTCGCCTCCCGCTCTCCCCTCCTCCACCGCTCCCCCCTTTGGCGCTCCCTTCGGTTGCTCCTCCCCCCCCTCATACGTGATTGATTGATTGATTGATTGATTGATTGATCAGTCCCGCCCGGCTGCCTCCGCGACGAGATTCCATAATCGAATCGATTACGTAATCGATTCGATTTCGA